AACTCCAGGCTTCTGCCCAACCCCATCCAGGGGCCAGGGGCCCTGGAAACCCACCCTCTGCCTGCTGCAGGCCTGACTACTGCTGGGGGGAGCGGGGTCTCTCCCCTCCAAGACCCTTCCGCTGCCCAGCTCCTCGCCAGCCTCATTAGCATGCGGCACTCTCCCTCTGTCACCACGGCAACCAGCTGCTCGGCTCCCTCAGGCGTGACAGAGCCAGCCATCTTGGTGAGGGGAGGCCGGTTCCCTGGTTCCCTTCCCGTCTACCCCTGGCTCAGCCCCAGCTGGCCCGAGGGTTCCCTCCCTAAAGTCTGTCTCCTCCCCCACCCCATCTGCATCTGCTCCCTCCTGCTGGCCCCGGGGCTCCACCAGGGTATTCTCTTGCCCATGTCCACCTGTAGCATCAGCTCCTCCTCCACCGCTGGAGAAGAGGCCAGCAGTGATGGTTGGCACTGCCCTAGGTCTCCTCCTAGGGCACTATCTGGCTGCTTCTGGGTCTCCTCTCCCTGCTGCAAGAGGCTAGGAGGAGACAGGAGGCTGGTGGGGGCTGCGGAGCAGGACGCCTGGCTCCTGAAGGAGGCTAGGCCTCCAGGCACAGTGTCGCAGCATGGAGGGATGGAGAAGAGGCAGGGGCACAGAGGACCCCTGAGAGCCACAAAGGGGGGCTGCAGGGTCCAGAGTGCAGTGTCGCAGAGGAGGTCCTCAGCTTGCCCCTGGGAACTACCACCAACCTGCCCAACCCCCTCCCTACTTTCAATCTCACCCTGATTCCCCCAACACACCCCTGAGTGGACGGCCATCAAGAGAAAGATGGCCACAGGGCAAGATCAGGACACACGAGCAGGCACACACGTAGCAGAGAACACAGAGGCCACACTCCCGTGTGCGCACGGGCAAACCCTCACACACGCAGCCTCCCATACACACCTGCATGGCCCTGGCACGCGGCCCCAACAGTACCACACCTAAACCAGCAGACTGCCAGGCACCCCAAGGAAATGTCTAGGTGTCACTACAGGTCTCACTCCCGCTGTCCACAAGCCCAGCTTCCTCCTGGCCCCTACCTAAATATTCCCTTTCCTCTGCCCCCATCTCCGGGCCACTTCTGAGCAGCCCGCCACTCCATCCCAGGTCCCTCTCCTCTGCCTCTCCCTCCACAAGCCCTCATCCCACCTCCTCACTTAGCCGCCTGCTCTCCCTGGCTCTCGGCTCCGACCTTCCTCCCCGCTTTCTTCTCTCTTCCTCCCTCCATCTCTCCCTTTGTTCCGGAGCAGACATGACATCAAGAGCAAGTAAAAGTCACATCAGCACTAAATCTTATCTCCAGCCCTCAGAAGGCTGCGTCCACCCAGACACGCGGACTCACACACACACACACACACACACACATACACACACACACACAGCACGCAGAGTAAACACTGACACACAGACACGGACACAGATGGGGACTACAGAGCCATGGATGCTCCAACAGGCACAGAAAGATGCAGGCCACAGCACAGAGACGCAACGTGTGGGTGTGCAGCATGCTCACACAAGGACACAACTGTGCCACATGCACACGGGCACATGTTCACAGACGTGCAGAGACACCCAGGGGCACATTGACCAGCAGAGTTGTATGAATGTGCACACACAGGTGCCTGCTGCTGCGACCAGACAACCTAAGGAGCCCCGAGAAGGCGAGACACCAGGAGAGACAAGCCAAACCGTAGGCAGCACGAGGACAAATGGATGCCACTCACACCCAGGCCAAGGGCCTGACCACCTTCCTTCCCAGGAACTCGCATCCTGGCAGTCGCCCGGCTCCTCCCACAGGGTCCGGGTCCAGCGATTTTGGCACATCCCCCCACTCCTGCTTTCCCAGGACAGGAGAGTGTGGAGCAGGGTGGGACTGGGAGGTGGCCTCACCTTGCACCCCCCTGCTGCCCTCCCCAGTGGTCCACCTGACTCCCCTGCAGCCCAGCCCTCAGGCCCAGACCACTCAACACTGCCTTCCCGCTCCCTGATCTGAGTCTACCCCAAAGAGGAAAAGAAACAGAGAGAAACCAAAGCTAGAAGGAAAGGTTGAGAGGAAGATAGAAACCTGGAAAGAGCCGTGGGAAGGACAGACACAGAGAGAAGTCCAGGGACGGGCCCCGGAGAAAAAGACGAAAAAGCAGAGAGAAAGATGGTCAAATAGAAGAAGGCAGGGAAAGAATGGACACAGACCCAGGGAGGAGCCTGTGCCACCCTTGCCCTGGGACTGGTAGGATGAGGGGGCCCCGGTCCTCACCTCCCAGGGGCGATTGGGGTTGATCGGAGCAGAGGAGCTGCCCCTACCCACATGCCCTGACCAGTGGCAGGCCCCCACCCAGCCTGCAGTCTCGACCGACCACACTCTGGCCTCCTGAGCTGTGCAGCAGAGGGGCGGATTCTCCCACGCAAGGGGCAGAGGCGGCTCTGTGCCCCCATCCCCGGTGGCAAGGCCTTTCTGTGCTTCCTGAGCAGGGCAGGGCAAGCAGGATACCCACCCCGCACACTTCTGACCCACAGCCCTCCACCCCCGTGTCCAGCTCTTCCCAAAGATCCCTTTCCCATTCCTGCCAGGAAGAAGAAAGGCCCGTGGTCAGAATGAAGTGACACGGGCCAGGGAAGGGCCTGAGGCTACCTGGCAGCCCCCCACCAGCAGAAGTGGAGCCCAGGCAGAAGGGAGGACCCAGACAGCCTTCCTCCAAGGGGCCCAAGCACAGGCAGGGGAGGGAGCCCTTGAGTGACCGACGACACCCCTTCACCTGGGACCCCCATGGTGACAGAGGTGCTACCCCAGTGACCGAGAGGCTTCACTCACCTTCCATAGGGTGCTCCTCTACAGCCAGCCAGGTTCAGAGAAGCGGGAGGCAGAGAGAGAAGAAAAAGGAGGGCTGTTAGCATGCAGGCCACACCACCACCAGCAGCTCCCAGGGCAGCCAGGGGCCCAGGTCCCGAAGCCCACCCAGGTCCCGACACAGGCCACCCAACCCAGAAGGTCTGGGGATGGGGCAGGGGCAGAGCCGCCCTCCGAGCCCATCACACACAGAGTCAGCCAGTCCGGGAGGGTCGGGAGCCCCCACGTGCCTCACACCCAACCCTTGTGCTGCACTTCAGGAAACCGAGGCCCAGGCCAGGGCAGTGGCCACTCAAGGTCACATGGAGGGTGGGAGGCTGGGCAGGAGCAGCAGGCTCCTCCCCACCCTCCACGGCTTCTCAGAGACAGATGGGGACACGCTCACACCAGTAACCGTCTCGCTGGGTTTGCCCGAGACACACTCACGCTCGGTGACACACTGACACACATAAGCACTTAGCAATCCAGTGGCACATTCAGCTCTCACGCTACTCACGCCTGAAGGCTTTTCACACAAGAATCCAACCACCCCACAGCCCCCCAGAGCCCAGGGGGAAAAAGGCGACAGTCCATGGTCAGGAACCAGCTCTGCCCCAAAGTGCCATGTGACCTCCATCCTGTCACTCAGCCTCTCCAGGCCCCTCCTCCCTCCTGCAGATGAGAGGCGGAGAGGCCGGGCTGCAGTTTCCGAGACCCCTCTGGCTCTGGCTCTGGCTCTGGCTCCACTGTCAGCACAAATGCCTTCCCAACAGCGGGAGGCAGACCCAGGCGGCATGGCCACCTCAGGGGTCGGAGGTCAAGTGGACCACACTGCCCCCCCCACCGACCTGGCCTGGCCTGAAGTGCATCAGATGGGTAAAGAGAAGGTGGGAGGGAGGATGGAAGCAGCTCCTCAAGCAGACCACGCCCAGCCTGCTTTGGAAGGGGACCCAGGCACCCCGACTCCTGACACTGCTACCTGCCCACCTCCTGGGAGCCCCCAGAGAGAGCAAAAGGCAGAGGAGAGAAACAGCAGACACAACCCGCGGGGAAAGACGCACACGCACGAAGGCCCCAGGGCAGTCACGGAGACACCCAGTGTAGGTGCACACACACGTGCACACCCATGCAGGCACGCGCACGCACACACAATCTCCTCCCACCTCCAAGCCCATTTTGTGCTATTTGCTCATGCCCTCTGAGGGGGGCAGCTGTATCACAAAAACAAACAGTGTTGTTTATCCTTCTGATACCACGCCCATAACACACACACACACACACACACACACATACACACACGAAGCTGAATGCAAATATCAATACCTGCACAGCAATCTAATACATAACAGGGCTGCATCCAGCCACCGCCACTCCACACTCCCTCCAGTTGACTGCGACACACACCCTGGGATGAACGCCACTCCCTTTCTATCCCAGTGTCTCTCCCTGTCTCTCACCCATTTCACACACGGACACACACAAGCCTCCGCGTGCCACAAACACATTTCTATATGACAAAGAGCTTCTTTGCCTGACACGTACATCCTCGGATGCTCTGTATATAATTATTTTCTTAAATAAACAGCCACATCACATTTATGGGGAGAGCTGGCTGGTGAAGGGGACCCTCAGGAAACCCCGGGGCCCCTTGAGGACTGCTGCATCGGGCTTCTCCGCTCTCAGCTGCTACGGCCCCGTCCAGTCAGCACAAGCAGCTCACCAGCACCTGGGCAAACAAGGAGGTGGGCAGGTCTCTAGATAACCCACCACGGCAGATCTTCCAAAAGGTATTTCCACCTGCCAGAAACGTGACATGCCATGCTCGGGAAGCTGAAACCAGGCAGCTGGGTTTCTCCTGGCCCCCGCGGTCAGCACTGAGAGACCTTCTCTCCTAGCTCGCTGTGCCAGGCTCTGTCCCCTGTCCTCATTCTCCTGCTTCTTCCCGCTCTCCTTGGGGACCGCTCATTTTGGTGGCTGAGGGACTCCCATGGGGCGTCTGCAGCCCCAATCCTTTCTGAGTGACCGTCCCACATCCCCACCTGTTGCCTCCACAGCTCTGTGGCCTCTAAGCTCTACCACCGAGGCCATGCTCACGACCCCAGCCCCAAACCAAGCATCCGTGCCGTGTTTTGTCCTGCCTCCAACCAACTCTCCTTGAACTCCCACGGTGAGCCTCACGCTGCCAGGCTTCAGAGAGATCAGGTAACCGTGAGCCAGGCGCCCCCCGACAGACCCTCACGACCCTCACGTGGGACTTTCCATAACAGCCTCACCACACTCCTGATGAGCTTGCGGCTCATCCGCCTCCTCTCTACAAAAGAGGAGGCCACCCCGCCGCAGCTCTCCACGGCAGTCCTGTCCCGGGGCAGCTGCCCCTCATGGCTGGTTGTCTGCAACAGCTTTTTCCTGGTTGGTCCCCCTTCCAGCACAGGGACCAGACTCATCTTACTAACTAACGCCCGCAGGGATCCACACACACACTCAGACCTGATGAGGCTGTGGGTCAAGCCTTTCTTCTGTGCTCTCAGCCCTCCTACCCATCTGCCTTCGGGCGGCTCCCTGCGTGTCTCACAGACCTCGGAACCCTCCCCCTCTCCTCCTGCCTCCATGCCCTGATCCCCCGAGGCACCCAGCAAACAGCCCTGCTCTTTCTGCAGACGGATCATCAGGACTTGGGGGTTCCACCTTCTGAAACCCTGCAGCCCTGGCACAGCCCCCAGGCCAGCTCTTTATCTGCTCTTCTCCTGGGAACATTAATGAGCCTCTGAGATGATTCCCCTTCAACCAGTCTTTTCACCCTGCAGTTCACACCCTCCACTCGGCCACAGTGGTCCCACCTCGTCACAACCCTGCTAAAAACTCTTCACAGCCGGCTTCTCATTGGACTTCACCAGAGAACGGTCTAGTCTTGGTAGGAAAGTCCCTTCAAAGCCTGAACGTGTCCCCGGGGGCTCCTTTCCTGCACCAACCCAGGCTCTGGCCACACCGAGCTTCTCCCCACTTTCCTCACAGGCACAGGCTTTCTTGCTTTCAGTGAGGGTCTTACGTAGTTGCCCAGGCTGGCCTCAAACCCACAATCCTCCTGCTTCAGCCTCCCGAGTAGCGGGGTCTGCAGGCAAGCGCCACCCCACCTGCCTAATAGACATGTTTCCCCACGTCCTGTTTCCTGGGCTTGAAATGCTCTTCCCTCCCACAGCTGCCCGAGAAAGTCGACTCTTCCTTGAATCAACACGCATCTGTGTGTTCCGAACACAGGAGAGCAGCCAGTCACACTCTTCTGTGCCAGCTCCAGACGTGTACATTCCATTATTGTTGCACTTATCCAGGCTATATTGCAATTGTGTTTCGTGTCTGCTTCCTGACTGGACTGTGAAAATACCCACAGGACAATGTTTCTTTCATCTCTATCTCCAGCTGCTTGCACAGTTCCTGGCTCAGAGAAAGGCATTTCTGTGTTTGTTGAGTGAATAATAAAATAAGACTTCTCATGTGCAGAGCCCTGAAGTGTGCCTGGCTCTTGGCAGGTACTGTTTCCTCTACCCAGCTCACGGAAGTGCATATTACTAAAAGTCCTTCTTAGAGATGAAGAAGAAAACACACCTCCAAAAGTAGAAGCAAGCCTGGTGTGGTGGTACATGTCTGTAATCCCAGCTACTCAGGAGGCTGAGACAGAAGGATAGCAAGTTCAAGGGCAGACTCAGCAATTTAGTGAGACCCTATCTCAAAATAAAAAGGGATGGGGAGGGGCTGGGGATGTGGCTCAAGCAGTAGCACGCTCGCCTGGCATTTATGGGGTGCTGGGTTCGATCCTCAGCACCACATAAAAATAAAATAAAGATGTTGTGTCCACCTAAAACTAAATAAATATGTATATATATAAAAGTTCTCTCTCTCTCTCTCTCTAAAAAAAAAAAAAAAAAAAAAGTTGGGGACAGGGCACAGTGGCAAATGCCTATAATCCCAGCGGCTTGGAAGGGTGAGGCAGGAGGATCATGAGTTCAAAGCCAGCCCCAGTAATTTATCGAGGAAGCAACTTAGTGAGACCCTGTCTCTAAATAAAATATAAAAGGAGCTGTGGATGTGTCTCAGTGGTGGAGCGCCCCTGGGTTCAGTCCCTAGTACCAAAAAAAGTGGGGGTGTGGGGCTTGGGTATAGCTCAGTGGCACAGTATCCCTGGGGTTCAATTCCCAGTACTATTTTAAAAAGAAAAGAAAAAGTAGAATAACTTGCCCAAGGTCACACTGCTGTCGAGGGACAGAGTCAAACTTTGAACCCAAGTCTGCCTGGCTCTAAAACTTCCAATGGGCTACATTCTGGAAGTCAAGATTGCTAGAAGCTTCTAGCTAACCTACAGTTCTGACTTTATCTCCCATAAGGCACAACCAACCTGGTCTCCAATACACCACTCCATGCAACCACTCCGGGTTCAGGCAATACTTCCGTCAGGAAAGCTGGTCCCTGTCCTTTCCACCAGTCATCCTTTAAGGTCCAACCAAGTCCCATCTCCTCCATGAAGCCTTCCCTGACCACTCGGGTTAGGAACCCTAGTAACTATCTGTGCTTACAACATTATTGCTTCCATTTTGCAGAGTAAGACACTGAAGAACAAGGTGGATCAGTAAAATGCGTCCCTAGCAAGTAGCGAGGAGGGGACTCGAAACCAGGCAGTGCATGTTCTTCCCTGACTGCCACCTTCCCTTGGGAGCTCCTCTCTCGCCTCTGGGTTCTCAGGGCAGCCACTGTCCACCACTCTCTAGAGAAATCATCCCACTGAGCCTGGAGCCCCTTCTACCCACAGAGAGCATCAGGGCCAAAGCACAACAGTCAGGCAGGATTCAGGCAGGGGCAAGCCTCAGGGAAGGAGCCATTGTGTGTCAGTCCTGTGTGACACCTGAGGAGAATCGTGACCTCCCTGAGTCCTAGGGAAAGCTGAAGCACACGCAAGCACTGTGCTTGGGAAGGCAGAGAGGTAGGGTCAGCTTTTGAAAAGATTCCCATGAAAC